AATTAAAGCCTAGATAACAGCATAAAAAAGAAAATGAATGCAGCCACCAAATTTAAGGATTGGTAAGCTGCAATATATTACATTTTTTCTCTTGGGTTTAAATCAAATTAACGCCATGTACATCAGTCTGTTATATACAAGTGCGTAGCTGCATAAAGCAGTCCAATCCTATGATCTGGCCTTTCATTTCATGAAAGCCACTCCAACAGACATTTGAAGTGCATTATAATACACATAAATGGACGTTCTCCCAGAGGACCCATAAGAACAACTTCTAGGCCTCTAAAAGATAGAAGTGGTCCTGTAACAGTTCGTACCGTCACACGTAGTCTTATCATTTTTACCAAAAGACACACATATGGGGCAGGTGTTATATCTGTCATCCCTACCTCATAATGGACGGAACGACAGTTCATAATGTCTGCCTTATCAGCTCTTATCTGTACCATTCTTATTCTGTAATGTTTATCGCATTGTTTACTTATATTAGTAAATCAAACCCTTGGAAATGATAGAAAGAGACTTGTATGTATGAGGTATAGAAAATTTCCATAGCAGCAGTCTACGATGAGTCTCATGAAATGCTGTTGTGAACTGTTTGGGTGACTTTAAAACAAAGATCTTATTAGTATTCAGTGGATATCACACAAATGATTATAGCAGCACACCAGAATGAAAAAGGAGGTAGACAGGATAAAAAGTAGAAAATGAATGAATGCTATGAGAGAGAGCAGACATGTGGTCTTATTTAATAAGGTAAAGTAAACTTAAAAATTAAATTAATTGTCCCTGTAGAAGACATGCTTGAGAGGGGATATGATTGCAATATATAAATCTTTAAATGGTGACTGTATCATTGAGAGAAAACAATTTAATCTAAGGTCTCTAAAGCCAACACACAGCCACAAAGTCAAGTTGGACAAGAAGTAGTTTCATCTCAAACTGCGTAAGGGGTTCTTTGCTGTCAGAGCGGTAAGGATGTGGAACTCCCTTCCACATTTGGTGGTGACAGCAGGGAGTTTAGATAAATTAAAAAAAATTTTCAGGATGAACTGAATGGACCAGTGTCTTTACTCAACCTTAGCAACTATTTGACTGTAACAAGCCAATCATCATTCATATGACTTCTTAAAATGGAGACCTCATTGATTGCTATGAATAGTTTACTGCAAGTCATCATTCTTTGCTCTGCCTTATTAAATAAGTCCGATCATGTCATCATGTGTATAAGCAGTGCAAATAATGTGGAATACATTTTCATGAAAGAAACACACTTGTGTTTAATTTGTGTCTCTATAGGGATATACATATTTAATACCAGCGACATCCCTTCAAACTTTACAGTTGATGATCTGGGGGAATTCCATTACTATGCTTATTCCACATCTGTCCCAAAGTCTTCCTAAGTTCAACATCTCTTCTTTCGCAAAGCTGACCCTACATATGTGATAGCCACTATACCTGTTTTTGTGCTGTATGTCGTCTTAATAATTAAACACTAGGGGTGACAATCACTTTCACCGGCTACTGATAAGGGGACCATATTGACAATAGAAATCCTCTGTAAAATTACCATTAAAATATGTCAGCTATTTTTGAAAATCCACTTACGGTACTTTTAATTTTAATGAATGTGTCCTGTGTTGCAGCAAGACAGCTTGGACCTGGAACTGCAGACTTTGCAATTGGTATGAAATGGTTGTTGTAACAACCCCCACTTGTAACATTACTGCAGTTAAAGCATTTCTAAAAACAAAATGTATTATATGCAGTTTACAGTTGTTAGTTGGCTGCATTGCAGTCTTTTTTCTTTTATTTCCCCCCAGTAAATCTGCAAATAACCCATGCAGTGTTCTGTCATGACTACACTGTATCTAGGTAGACAGTCATGGTTGTCACACAGGCTTTACCTTAAGGCCTCATTCACATGGGGCATTTTAATCCATGCCCCATGCAGGGCCACGTTTACCGGCAAGGGGATGCACAAGTATTACGGCATCCCTGTGTCGGCAGTCCCATTGCTGTTAAATGAGACTCAGCGGATACACTGACACAGCCACTGCTCCCAATGCATGTGTGTGCAGGGCCATGCACTCAAACAGATGCCACAATAAGAGCAGCGGCTGTGTCCGTGCAGCCGCTGTGTCCCAATAGACAGCAATGAGACTGCCAGCATGGGGATGCATGCAACACCTGTGCATCCCCATGCCAGTAAAACACGGCCCAGCATGGGGCATGGATTAAAACGCTTCCAGTTCATCTGGCAGGAAGGGACAAGGACACTGTATTAAAATTCAAAGGACCTCCTGCGCTTAAATGGAATCCTACCCTCAAAAGCTGCTGACACTAACCTTATACCCAAATAAGTGAATAGTCAATTAAAATAAACAGTGTAGCGCTAGTAACACTAAAAAAATAAAAAAAAAAAAATATATAACATATATATATATTAAGTGAATCAGTGATTACAATACACAAACTAAATACACATCCCCTAAACATATATACCCGGGATGATGAACAAATAAATAAATAATAGTGTCATGCGTGAATTCCTTCATGGGGAATATCCAGTGCATAGGGTGACAAATACAATCTTAATTCAATATTGTGAAAAAAAACATACTAATGCACAAAATTGGTGAACAAATAATCAATTGCAAAGTCCAAAAAATATAATAATAATAATGCGATGCTTTGTGGTAGTCCTCCCACTTCACTCTTCATGCAAAAGTAATGTGCAGTGTGCGTGATTCACACGTGCCAATCCTTTAACAGCCAAAATGCCCCCTCACCTCCTTACTTAGACCCCACAGGGCCAGCACGCTTTGAGGATCAAGCGATCCTATCAGAATGGGTTCCTCTCAGGATTTCCCCTCTCGTCTCCAGCCTCCACCAGACTAGCAGCCAGCTCCTCCCAGGGTCATAATGAGACACAAGCAGAGACCCTCCATAGTGCAACCGTTTTGTTAGATCAAATTACAGATAAAAGAATTCCACTCACATTACCCACGACTTTTTCCAGCTTCCTACCACATGCTATGGGTGTACTGCATGGGTATTCACAACAGGGTGATCCAATATGGCCCCCACGCCGTAAATGACGTCACCGCGTTAACGGAAGCTCCTCCCCACGTACCGACGCGTTGCGTCAAGTTCAACACGTGACTTCATCAGGCTTATTTGTTCACCAATTTTGTGCACTAGTATTTTTTTTTTCACAATATTGAATCAAGATTGTATTTGTCACCCTATGCACTGGATATTCCCCATGAGGGAATTCACGCATGACACTATTATTTATTCATTTGTTCATCATCCCGGGTATATATGTTTAGTGGGATGTGTATTTAGTTTGTGTATTGTAATCACTGATTCACTATATATATATATATATATATATTTTTTTTTAGTGTTACTAGCGCTACACTGTTTATTTTAAAGGACACTGCATTACCTGGCTAGATCATAGCTTAAAAAAAAGGAAACTAATGCAGCACCACATCTAGTGACTACTAAGCTACATGTTAGTTTTTTGGGTTTAAACACGCTTTAATTTCTATATTAGAAGATACAGTTTAGCGCTATACTAATGGGTTTTTGAGGAGTCTATAATACTTTGGTAATTGGCACATTAATATTATTGTCATTATTATTATTATTATTATTAATAATGGAAATGGGTTTTACCAGTCAATCAAAATGCATTTCAAAATTGGATTGCAAGCCAAAAAGTTTTTTCTTAAATAGTATTAGGAATGGTGAGAACATCTTTCAGGTTTTTCTTGCTGTCTCTGTCCCTGTTACAGAGATTTATCTTCTTTTCCTGTTTCAATTACATTAATGGGATATAATCTCTTCAGTGGGGACATGGACAGCGCTAAGTACATGACAGATGTTCTAACAATACCTTGTTGTGGTGCTTTATTGGGTATAATTAAGTACTGTACTCGTATGAAGCTAAAATCAGTAGCGGTCCCTCCTCCCTACTCTGAGCACTGAAGAGACTTCTGCATCCCAATAAAATCCCAGAAAGTTTTTTTTTTTTTTAAACTGGGCATAAAATTGTAAACCACAAACAAGAGCTCATAGATATGATCAGTTCCCTGCCTCCAAATGCTTCTAGATGTCTCAGTAAAGCTAAGGTAAATTATATGGCAGTTTTTGTACTGTTTTCTTTACAGACATGAAGACATATTACAGTTTACTGCAGTTCTCTACATTTAGGACTATAGTTTTACACAGCACTAACAACTGACAGGTATTAATGGGCTGATGATCTCCTATCTAGCCCAGTAAGATCTTTATAGTTATGGCACTGGTGTGGCAAATTCTACCAACAAGCTGAATCACTAATGATTCTTCCCCTTTTTTAAAAGCTGTGCAATGAAACACAAATCGTATTTGCATCCCATCATCACCAGATTAAGCTGTAATATTTGTCAACAGAACATGGACAAATGGATGTTATGGAAAAATATTGGTATATGACGTTATTGTGCACAAATAAATAGCTATTTTTTCATTTAAGTTACCTTCTTGCTAAACATATCTGTGAGAAAAATAGGACTTCTGCTGTACAGTATGTGTCTTGCAAGGCTGGTGGTTTCAATATACAAGTGAAATACACACATAAACCCCAAATCAATGCAACAATCTGCCCCATTTAAAAATACTGAATTTTCCCCAGAAGAATATATATGTAACATGTAGCTTGTAACATCCTTGAGCAATGGAAGTTAGCTACCCTGTAAAATGCACTGTCCTCCAGTCTCCTCCTGAGCTAGTGGGAGATTCTCTCACTATAAAGTATAAAGCCTGCAATGTCTGATTGCAGCTACCACTGCTTCTTCCATTAGATGCAAAACTGTAAGGTTATCCGGTGCCCATAGGGACCTCTTTTGGCAGCATGAGAAATAATCCATGACTATTTGACAAGTTTGTCTTTTGTCAGTTCATTCCAAAAACATTTGGTCCTTGCATTAGGGAGAAGAATGTATTCAGTTGGTTCCATGATCTTCTTCAACCCATGCCACAATTTTTCCTTCCCAGCCTGGGATGATGTCATCATCATGGAATACCTAGGAGGCAAGCAAAGACAAATCACCCAGTGATTTTCTTAAGCACATCAGGTACCTCTTATATTTATTTGATTGTATTAACTGGCATATTTTAGAAAGTATGAGACCCCACTCACCCAGTCCGATACATGTGAGTGAGTGTATTGGCCAGCACAGCTCCACTGGCTATGCCTACTGATGCTAACCCCACCCACTGGGGCTTAGTCAAAGCGCATATTTTACATATACTGTATAGTAATGTAAATTTAAAGGAGGGTAATATATTAGTGACATGGTTATATGGGATCCAACATAAACCAGACCCAGACAGAGACCAGGAATACACATTGGAGCTGTCTGCACTCATATTACATGCCTCTCTCTTCGCATAAATACTTATCACACACATTGTTAGTATTAATACAAGTCTTTACTACAGCATGAATGCCAAGCTGCAGCAAGCAAGACCAGCAGACTATTAGCATGCATTAAGAAAGGTGTTTACTGAAGAGATAAAACTACATTTCTATATTATTATAACTATATTTCTACCATACAAAGCTCTGGTTCGGCCACATCTTGAGTATGCTGTCTAGTTTTGGTCCCCAATCCTCACGATGTGCTTGAACTGGAGAGAGTCCGGAGAAGGGCAACAAAACTACCAAGAGAGTCCCGTTATGAGGAACAACTACAAACATTAAACTTGTTTCCCTGGAGAAGAGGCACTTAAGAAGGGATATGACTGTGATATACAAATCTTTGAATGGTGACTCTAGCATTGGGAGAAAACGATTTAATCTTAGGTCACTAAAAAGACACACGGCAATACAATGAAGAAGGATGAGATGTGGTTTAATCATAAGCTGCGTTCTTTACTGTTGGAGCAGTAAGAATGTGTAACTCCCTTCCACCGTTGGTGGTGTCGGTGGAGAGTGTGGATAAATTAAAGAAACGTAGAAAAAACAGTAATATGGAAAACAGAAGTCTCACACACACAAGCACACACACAGGTTGAACTGGATGGACTGGTGTCTTTATTCAGCCTTACCAACTATGTAACTATGTATATTTAATGGGAGCATGCTGAAACCAGCAAAATATATTTTTTGTTTGAAGCCTATAGTGAACCTCTGTGCCATGCAGGTAAAGTATGATGTTGAAGTCATTGTGCATCATCAGGGACAAGGTGCCCTTGCATTGGGATGGGGGCACTATTTACAGGTAACATACACTATATTTGTAAAATGTAAACACATACAGTATGTAAAAGAATATAACACAATTTCATATACATACCTCTTCTTTGACTGTTCCAAACTCTGGATCTAGAGCCTTGAAGTGGTATCTGTGATTTCCCTCCCTGTCAATGGCTATCTTGAAATCTCTCAATGTGACTTCCCCTAACCTGTAGGGCACATAATTAAAAATAAGAGCATTCATACATTACCAAATGATATGTTTTTCCCATACTGAAACCAAAATGTTTCTACTTTCAGACATTTCTATTGAAGGATTATCAACATTTGCATTAAGATCAAATTAAACCTATGGCATGCATGCTTTGGGAAACGAGGGGCACTGGTGGGCTCATAGATTTTTAAGAATGGATTATACCCAATAAGTGACCACACTGTGCAGATCACCAACACAATGAAATATAGGTAAGTATATTCTACTAGCTCAACATAGGGAGGGGGAGGACTTGGATAGATTAGTGCACTAAATGTTCACTTTTTCTTTAGGCCTCATTTCCATGGGCATACTACAGTGTATGACAGCGCAAGGGCCGTGTTTACCTGCACGGGGATGCACTGGTGTTTCGTGCATCCCCATGGATGCAGTCACGTTCATGTCAATTGGGCCGCAGTGGCTGCAGGGACACAGACTTTGCTTCCAATCTGACTTCTGTCGGCAAAGAGTTGCTGACTGTAATTACCCATAAATCATACCCAAGATAACTGTAATATCATGGCAATGGTATTGACAAATAATATGACCCCAAGGAGAAACTGTAAAAACCACTGTACCTCTTTGGTATGCTGACCATAAAGGGTGTTAGTGAACGGTCTGTAAAATATAGCACTTTGGTGCAGGAATTACTGCCACCCATTATTGGGGCACTCTGTGAATGAGGCATCTCTGAAATAAAATACAACATATAAATTATGATTAAAATATGACATTAAAATGCACTACACACACACCACTACTCTTCGAGATATATACTTAAAATACTTGAATGCCTCTGTCAAAGGACTGCTTGCTCGCTGCTGGGACACAGGACCAAGGTATTATAGCTGGGCATTGCACCCAAGGACTAGACAACACTAACTTAGGTGCAGATGGAACTCTTCATTAAACAGAAATACAGGTTTTATACACTTCAGAAATAGGGGCAGTCCCCACATGAACAATAAAAACAAAGATTACACGTTGGGATAAACATCCCACACTGATTAGATAGCGAGGTAAAGCTGATAACAGACTAATCCCATGATGTAGGAACCTCCAGGAGGACTAGCCAAGACACAGTAAACACACTTTAATAGGCAGATTACAGCAAGAGACTTCATCATCAGGTTGTTTTGAGCTGATTACATTAACCCCTTCACACAGATGTAACACAAATATGCAGCCTCACTGAACTGGGCTTTTTTCCATGTGACCACATATTTGCGTACCTGTCTTTGTGCTGGGAGTGCGCTGCACAGCGTTTGAGTGTTTGAGTCAAAGCTAGGGTCAAAAGGTCAGGATTTATTTATTTTTTTAAATTGGTGTCAGTGTGTTTCAGGTAAAACAAAACAAAAAACGAAATGCGCGCTATTATTTCTGGGGTGTACTGTGTGTACAAACAAAAAAATAACATACACATATATGGTATCGTGCGATTGCCAAGAGCTGAAAAATTTATTTTGGGTTGTTCTTTGGTGGTACGTTATGGTAGTAACAAGAAACACACACCTAAAGTTAAAAAAAAATTTTTTTTACTATTTTGGGCCAGTTTTCCTTTGATAATAAAAAAAAATTCAGGAGATATCCATTACCATTTACCACCAAATAAAAGCCCAATTTGTCCTGAAAAAAAAAACAAGGTATAATCCACCTAGATGTACAAAATAGTTGTGATAATATGTACGGTTTTACTAACACATGTCAAAGTTGCAAGATTGAGCTTAGGCGTTAAGATTTGTTTTACCTTTAGGTGTGAAGCTGGTTACATGACCTTGCAAGGCCATGTGACTGTGGTATCCTCCTCCTGACACCTTTTTTTTATTTATTCTTCCTCATTCATTTTAATGGCACTCTGCTTGCTTTGGAGTCTCCACTGCTGTGGTTTAGAAATGTGTGTTGCTTTTATTATCTTTTAAAGTAGCAACGTGGCCATGATAAGGCCACAATGATGCTTTACAAATAGATTCTCAAGTAGCACTGCAGCTTATTCAGGGGACACCTTACTCCCCAGGTCCTGGGCACCATTTACCCTTCAGGCACAAACTTGGAAGCTTAAGGTGTAATTGAAAAAAATGAAAAAAAAAAGAAATAAAAACCAATAGTACCTTACCTTCAACTTGGTCTCATACTTTCAGGCATTTTCTTTTCAATATGCATTTTCTACTAGATGATTCTGCCTGTTCTAAGGCTTCCTGAGCAGCTCACTAATCAGAAGTGACCCTAGGATGTGTCATAACTGTGGACTCCAGTGTGATGTAATGATTCACAGTGTGCAAGAAACTTGGGAGTCCAGAGGCATTATGAGATGTAAACGTTAATGGAGAGGGAAATGAACATGGATGAGGGAAACTTGCATTGCACCAACTGCAATGTACTACAAGTGCTGTTATGAGAAATATGGCCAAGCATGGAGAATGCTACAGCTAAAGACCTTATGATGAGGGAGGAATGTTGTGAGTTTGAGAACCACCCTAATTTTTTAATGGTATGTTTAGTCTAAAACATAATTTTGTTATTAAATAAAAATTTATAGCAGGAATGACATTTCACAATCTCACTTATCTTCACTGATATACTACTTACTAGAGTTGGGAGGCCAGGAATCTCTATATTCATTAAATTCTTTATTTCCAGATACCTTTCCTCTTGCCTAGGACAAAAAAAAGTGTGTTTGTAATGGATAGTTACAGAGATCAAATTCTAAATAATGTTCTTTTTGGAATGATAAAATAAAAACAAAACTGAATGTTTTGTAGGTACCATGAAATTAGGTAAGTTTGTTGCATTGTTGTAGCACCTCATTCTATTGATTAACATTTATGTGAAAAGGTACAACTCCAAATTAGTCCATATATCATTATTAAGTGTGTGTGTGTATATATATATATATATATATATATATATATATATATACACACACACACATATACACACACACATTTATATATACTATATTGCCAAAGGTATTGGGACGTCTGCCTTTACATATGAACTATAATGGCATCCCAGTCTTAGTCCTTAGGGTTCAATATAGAGTTGGCCCACCCTTTGCAGCTATAACAGCTTCAACTCTTCTGGGAAGGCTGTCCACAAGGTTTAGGATTAGGAGTGTGTCTATAGGAAAGTTTGACCATTCTTCCAGAAGCGCATTTGTGGGATCAGGCACTGATGTTGGACAAGACAGCTTGGCTCACAGTCTCCGCTCTAATTCATCCCAAAGGTGTTCTATCAGGTTGAGGTCAGAACTCTGGCCAGTCAAGTTCCTCAACCCCAAGCTCACTCATCCAGGTCTTTATGGACCTTGCTTTGTGCACTGGTGCGCAGTCATGTTGGAACAGGAAGAGGCCATCCCCAAACTGTTCCCACGAAGTTGGGAGCATGAAATTGTCCAAACTGTCTTGGTATGCTGACACCTTAAGAGTTTCCTTCAGTGGAACTAAGGGGCCAAGCCCAACCCCTGAAAAACAACCGCCCACCAAACTTTACACTTCGCACAATGGCACAATGCAGTCAGGCAAGTACTGTTCTCCTGGCAACCGCTAAACCCAAACACGTCCATCGGATTGCCAAATAGAGAAGCATGATTTGTCACTCCAGAGAACACATCTCCACTGCTCTAGAGCCCAGTGGTGGCGTGCTTTACACCACTGCATCCGACACTTTGCATTGCACTTGGTAATGTAAGGCTTGGACGCAGCTGCTTGATCATAAAAAACCCATTCTATGAAGCTCTCTACACATTTTTGTACTAATCTGAAGGCCACACAAAGTTTGGAGATCTTTATTGGAGGGGTGTCCCAATACTTTTGCCAATATAGTGTGTGTGTGTGTGTGTGTGTGTGTATATACAGTTGTGTTCAAAATAATAGCAGTCAGACATCACTAACCTGATCAATCACTGTTTTTGGTAGAAATGATATTTCTACATGGCAAATAATTTACTAGCAGGTGTAATAGAGTAATAGAAAATCCAACAGACCCAACAGTCATGACATGCATACTGCTGATTCTGTGTAATTGAATCACTAATTGAAAGGGGCATGTTCAAAATATTAGCAGTGTGGAGTTCAATTAGTGAGGTCATTCATTCTTTGAAAAACAGGTGGCAATTATTGCCCTTATTTAAGGAAGGAAGGCAGCAAATGTTGTACATGCTGGTTACAGTGCATTTCTCTCTGAAATTCTGAGGAAAATGGGTTGTTCCAGACATTGTTCAGAAGAACAGCGTACCTTGATTAAAAAGTTGATTGGAGAGAGGAAAACATATAAAGAAGTGCAGAAACTGATAGGCTGCTTAGCTAAAATGATCGCAAATGCTTTAAAATGGCAACCAAAACCTGAAAGATGTGGAAGAAAGCGAAAAACTACCATTCGAATGAATAGAAGAATAGCCAAAATGGCAAGGACTCAGCCAACAATCAGCTCCAGGAAGATGAAAGAAGGTGTAAAGTTCCCTGTGAGTACTGTTACAATTAGAAGACGCCTATGTGAAGCCAAGCTATCTGCAAGAAGCCCCCACAAAGTCCCACTGTTGAAAAAAAGACATGTGCTGAAGAGGATACAATTTGCCAAAGAGCACATTGACTGGCCTAAAGAGAAATTGCGCAACATTTTGTGGACTGATGAAAGTAAGATTGTTCTTTTTGGGTCTAGTGGCCGGAGACAGTTTGTCAGACGACCCCCAAACACTGAATTCAACCCACAGTACACTGTGAAGACAGTGAAGCATGGTTGCGCAAGCATCATGATATGGGGATGTTTCTCATTCCACGATGTTGGGCCTATTTATCGCATACCAGGGATTATGGATCAGTTTGAATACATCAGAATACTTGAAGAGGTCATGCTGCCTTATGCTGAAGAGGAAATGCCCTTGAAATGGATGTTCCAACAAAACAACAAGACAAACACACCAGTAAACATGCAACATCTTGGTTCCAGACCAACAAGATTGACGTTATGGAGTGGCCAGCCCAATCCCCGGATCTTAATCCAATAGAAAACTTGTGGGGGGTGACATAAAAAATGCAGTTTCTGAGGCAAAACCAAGAAATAGAGAAGAACTGTGAATGTTGTCCAATCATCCTGGGCTGGAATACCTGTTCACAGGTGCCAGAAGTTGGTTGACTCCATGCAACACAGATGTACAGCAGTTCTCAGAAACAGTGCTTATACAACTAAATATTAATTAAGTGATTCAAAGGAAAGCAAAATCTTCAAACATTTTTCAGTTTATCTAGTGCTTGATGTGATTGTAGCCGTATTAGTGCATTTGCAACAGAAACAATTGAGTACTGTCCGTGATACTTTTTTTATTTGCACTAACATACAATTTTGAGTTGTCCTCAAAATTGTATGTTAGTGCAAATAAAAAAGTATCACGGACAGTACTCAATTGTTTCAGTTTATATAGTGAATGTTTGAGTTTGTAAAGAAGAATACAAACACTTTTATTTTTTTGAACAGTCTAATATTCACTTTTCTTCAATTTTTTTTAGAGGAACAACACAAATTTGATATATCTTTCTTCATGTTTTGATTTGGAATAGAATGTGTAGTGTTCCCAATGCATTTGTGTGTATGGAAATAAAAGCTATTAGAAGGATTTTGAGCTTTATTCACTTTTTTCAACACACTGCTATTTTTTGAACACAACTGTATATATATATATCTATATATCTATATATATATATATATATATATATATATATATATATATATATATATGGTGTGCTGGAGCTTTCTGTCACCTTCCACTTGAGAGGTCAGTCTTTTTAGTGGGACATTTATGGCCTCATGCACACTGGATGTTTAGCCCTGGTGCATGAGGCTCCAGCATTTATGTGAGGGTGGTAGGCACAGATGCACTGTTCAGCCCCATTTCCCACAAACTGTCAAAGTCTATCACAGTCTGATAGCTGCTGTGGCTGGAATGGGGCTGGATGGTATGCCTAGCAGTGCCGTAAGTGCCCAGGGACAAATGCTCAGAATGCAAGCAGTTTGAGTTCCAAGTATTTGTCCGTGGTTATATACTGCCATAAACATAGGTACAACTAAGTGCGCTGTCCAACCACTTACTTTCACAGAAACCATAAGTCTCTCATAGAATTTAACAGGTTCCCAGCAGTAGCACTGGACAGGTCACCTGTGTCCTTCGCCTGCAGCTAAGCAAGGGAGCCTCAGGCACTGGGGCTAAACATCTAGGGGACAAAAAGCAGATAGGAGAGCCCAATCACATGACCCGCAGACTCTGTGAAAGACCACAGGCTAACACCATGCATTTTATGAATGGGCTGTTAAATGCAGGCCACAGTGTTGACCAACATAGCAGCATAGAGTAGATATCCATTTTAAAAGGGTTCCTTAGTGAGCTCTTAGGAAGGTTTGGTAGGCATAACAAAATGAGAAAAAGTTTTCCTGTCTGTGTTAACAAGATAATCTCTAAAGCTTCCTAATTTCAGGTTTTATGAATTCTGTGGAAAACATACACCACAGAACTGACATCGACATTCATCAGTCAAATTGAATGGAAGCCACTAACATCTACAGCTAGAATGCATAGATGCTGTAAGCTACATAATATATTGCTGGATTATTACAGTGGACAGGTAGGTTTTTACTCATTCACATATTCGCATCCACCCACTCATACTAATAGAATACCTACTAAATTAAAGTATAATTTCAGGCTAAACCTAACAATTTTTAAAAATGCTCCTTTTTTCAGCCCGCTCCGGTCCCTTCAAATGATCTCCTGTGTCAGCCAGCGGTGGCTGCAGGGGAAAAGAAAGAGTGCTCAACAACAGCTGGTAAAGCCATGTGTAGTGATGTAACTCATTGGCTCCTAAGGCTGATCTGTTGTTGGCACTCCCTCCTCTCCCCCTGTGGCCACTGGCTGGCACAGGGGAGCCGGTTCACCTGACTGGACTGGAGCATACTAAACATAGGTAAGTATTTACACAGGTTAGAGAACATAGGTGTTAGTTTTAAATAAACTAGTTAGGTTTAGCCTGGAATTCTACTTTAGGTCAGCTTAAAATTTAAATTGTACTGTTGCAGTTTTCTTTTTTTGACAAATTTCTCTTTATTGAAGATTTGTACATATATAAATAAATGGAAAAACATCAAGCCACAGCAGGAGAGAACAAAAGGTATGACATACAGTAAAACAATAACAATTGCATTATGAAGGTCAGATGGTACAAACCATTGTATACTACATCAGGTAAAGTTTCTCTAAGCGATGCGCCAAATGTTTCTCATTGTGCTGCTGCAAAAGCAGTTTTCTTTTATAATGTAACACTTCGACACTCATTTACCCTTACCTTTCTGTCATGCCTCCTTTGAGTCTCAATGGCGTGCAGTCTGTCCATCAGGCTGGCAATTCCTTGCTCTAGACTGTCTATAGTGTGATGCTGAGGGTCATGACCACTAAAGCTATTTCTCAGGCTACGCAGAGCATCACGGACAAGTTGCAGATCGTTAGCCTGAGCAGAAAAAGAAAGGGCATACATGTAACTACAATATAAACACATATAAATACTGTGATGGAGTCACCTTGGTTACACTGATGTGCGGGGAGATGCCAATCAGTTAGACACCAAATAAGGTTCAGAAAGCTGAAAAGAAACACATTGATGCTCCTAAGATTGATATTCTAATTATCCATATCATATTTGGTGCCTGAAAAATTGTAATTTTATTCTGTGCAATATTATGTTTCTGCATATAACCAAAGACTAGGCAAACATTCCAAAGTAATTTTCACTCTTAATCCTGTGTAATTTACTGTTGCTTATTGTTGGTTTTGCAATCCTTTCTTCTATAAATATTTTCTGGCACTGTTTTTCTTGTCCTTCACTAAAATGATATTTTAACAATCGCTTAACTAAATCTCTGAATGCTCTATAACAAATGAAAGAACTTCTGCCTTTGTAAGGCACTACAGTATTGTAAGCACTGTTACATTCCTGTTTGGGTGCAGCAGCAAGTGATACAGACATTTCTTAATGGTCACAATTTCAACAGTAGCTGCAATGCCAATGCTTGGTGAGTGTTTCCATTACACCACTTAGTGTCAGCTACTGTGTGTGTGTGCATATATAAAACTGGGCAGTTAACATGCCTCATGGGTGATCACTCTCAGTCTGCCGGTGCTTAGATTGTTGACCTATGAGCTGAGAAATTACAGAGCAGGGTAGAATCTGAGATTGTAAACATCATACTCCTTACTCTTTGAAAATTGAAGTACATTCTAGTTAATTACAGAGAGCATATTCTTTTTGTATGTAGCCTTCTTTTGTGTTTAGACATAACATATACTGTATAATCTACTGTATAGAGCCACAGTTGTAATTTGCTTTCCCAGACTTATAAGAAAACAGATACTAGCATACCCATCTGTATTTCAGTTTTAAAATTAATATTTAGTAGTTTTATGATGTTATGTACTGTGCAAAATTAAGTTTTAGACATCCTGTATATTGAAGTATGAATTATTTTACTTTTTAAGTGTTCTTGCATAGCAAGGAACACTTATTGTTATCTCACAAGTATATTCTTAATCTTATTATTATAGCAAATTTGCCACGCTAAACTCCTCCCACAGTTTTTACACTACAAAGACAAGTAATATATCAAAACGTGCGGATTGTTCCCGATCGGATTGCTATTACTTTGTGGAACGTTTCGCCGAATCATTCACGAAATAGCGCGGTTTTTGTGGCGAAATTTTCCCATAGGAATGCATTGAGCACAGCACAGCACAGCTAGAGTGTGCAAAGGAAAAATCAGAAAAATCAGAACATGATTTGTAAACTGCCATCACTCTTTCATTTTCAAGCCCACCTACACATATCTTATATCAAAACGTTCAGCTAACCCTGCTGTCACTAAAAATGTTCACGGCTAGGACATACTCCTGATAGTTTTCACAATATGACCATTTGTTTGCACATCACCCCTCCCATTGACTTTCATTGAAACTCCACTGTAGACACCAGACATTTTAAGGGACGTTTTTAAACTGCGACTGTGCCTTCATTTTTTATCTTTCAGAGACATACTATACATCAAACTGTAGGTATTTTTCTTGTGATTGTCACAATATCAACCTTGTCACGGTAGCTTTTATACTTTTAAAACTACAAGCATTTGAAGATGGCAATCGCCAGTGAACTTGCCAAGTTTAAAAAGCCTGTTTACAGCACAGCTAATGACATTCCTGACAGAGTGAGTTGCTATAGCAACCAAACATGACTCACACGCAGCTGAGTCACACAGGCTGGACTGTGAGATGGTAAATACAAGCTGAAATGCATTTCTCCCTCTGTCAGGCTTGCAATGTGCACTGCTTACATGTCATCATTACTTGGTAAAGGTTGCGGCAAGAACACTTTACACAATTTCCCCAGAAATTGTAGATTTTCTAGTTTGAATTGTTCCCTTTAGTATTTTGGAATGAATACTTATAACCAGTAGGTGTCACTGTTGTCTATTTTTTATATTCTCAAATGAGCATTGTAAGTGGAAGGGTACACATAGTTCTGCAGCATGCCACAATGATACATTGCATACAATAAAGGGGATACACAGTACTGTCTAAAAGAGAGCACTTACTTCTGTAACAAGACTATGCATGGCTTTATAAATAAATATATTGCACTGGCAGGTTGTACTTAATATTAGAACACATGAAATTGCATTTTTCTTTTTCACTGCTTAACACATAGGTTTGCCCTCCAGTAGTTACAGTTTAGTACTAAATAGTAAATAATTAAAAAAAAAATGTCAAAAAACACCTCACAAATTACATATTAATGTTTTATAATGTAAAACAAAACATTAAAATTATCTAAAGACCTTGGACATCCAAGGCCCCCCACCCTTCTCTGCCAGTTTAACTGACAGGATCTGAATGTCATGTGTGACATCTGGGCTTGCTCAAACAGGGGCTCCAGATTGAATGAAGTTTGCAAACAGTGTTTGCAGGCATCATTTATGAAAACATTATAACAATATATTTTGCTTGGTGCTTATGTGCAGCGCAAAGGTTTGTATTTTGACCTGCAAAAAATTGGCAGTTCCAGCAAACCTATAGTGTAGTGGAAATGTTTAAAATAATAGTTGTTCCTATTTAACTCCTTATTTAGCACCAGTTACCATTAATTAACTCTTTCCCTCACCTTTTAACTAATTTACTATTGCATGTAAATATTTTCAAATTTGTTCATTGCATTTGCTTGTTTTTGTAGTCTTTAGTGGTTTAGACATTAATATCTGTGTGTTGAGTTATTTTGAGGGGACAGCAAATTTACACTGTTATACAAGCTGTACACTCACTACTTTACATTGTAGCAAAGTGTCATTTCTTCAGTGTTGTCACATGAAAAGATGGAATAAAATCTTTACAAAACTGTGAGGGGTGTACTCACTTCTGTGAGATACTCTCTATATATTTTATTTGTATATAACTTCACAATGCTTTGTACTAGCAAGAAGATATACAGGTACAGGTGCAGGAGCTGAAGTACTTGATTTCTGAGATTTATTTACCACTTAGAATTACAGAATTACACCAGAATTATACTCACCGTCCTCTGTGGTAAAGAGTCACGCACAGGACCTTTGCCAGTGGTTTGTAAGAAGCCATTAGTCTGTGCCGGGTGGCTGATGTAATTGCTGACCTATAAACAGTAAAGAAAGAAAATGATGACTAATACAGATAAATTATTCTTTCTTGAGCTATATTTTCCAAAAAATGTAACAGCTAAAGTCTGCCAACAACTACATAACTGTGCATCAGGAACATCTAATAGGAAAGAATAAGGGTCACAACATGGGCTCCAGAAATGGGAACTAAAGCTCACCTGTAATATTTTGTTCAAAAATGTTAATTCAGTTTTTAAATGCAATTCAAGGAGCACCTGTGATGCAATTTAGCTGCATTTTAGCTTGGAGAGCAATGTGTTTTTCTAGCGATTTTCATAAATTTGCAAATAATGCCCTAGGGGTCTGTGTCTCCCTCTCTCCATAGATGCGAACAACCTCCAGAGGAATTAATTTTATTTCCCATGTCATGTGAATCACTGTGGTTTACAAAGCATCCAAAAATGCAACAGTGTGAAGTAGGGCTAATATGTCTGGGATTTCATTCAATTAACAGGTCTGGATTCAATTTTAGGGGCTTTTCTTCAACCTTTAAGAAGCGTATAGTATTTTTTTACTGCAGTGGTCATTTCATTAACTGGATTATATACATCCTGATTTTACAAGTTCTCATCTGATTTGGTACTGGGTCTACTTAAGAGGAATTTATCAGGCAAATAAACTACACAAATATTTGCAAATCAGGCTTTGTGTCCTTTGCAAATTCAATAATAGAGTTAATAGTGAAGATAAGCCAGGTCTCCACTCCAAAGACATGCATAATTAACAAGTAGTCAGGGTCAGGTTTCAGTCACAATTGCAAAAGATAAGAGAAGGCGCCTCTAAGTGTAAACTTAAAATCACGATTTTATAGCACACAATTATAGGCAACTTACAAGAAAGTCGAAGCGGCCACAATGGAAGTGAAACCTTAAATAAGACCTGCTTCTTTCATCGCTTTTTACACTGTTTATGTTTTATCTGTATTATTCTCTTTTTGTCACTTAATATTAATTTTTATTCCATGTGTCATCCGTCTAGTGCAGCAATGGGCAAACTACGGCCCGCGGGCCGTATACGGCCGGCGGACCTTTTAATCCGGCCCGCGGATGTGTGTAGGCGGGGCAGCGTGACGAACGTGAGGGGAGGGGAGCTAGGCTCCTCTCACAGTCCGCCCTGAAGACCGGAACGGCGCGGGAACACGGCGAGAGGAACGCGCGGAGCAAAGGTAAGTGAATTGACACAGGGGGGACTTGGGGACTTAATATGGGGGATGAATTAATATGGGGAATGAATTACTATAGGGGGGATGAATTACTATAGGGGGGATGAATTACTGTATGGGGGATGGGGGAAATTACTATATGGGGGATGAATTACTATGGGGGATGAATTACTATATGGGGGATTAATTACTATATGGGGGATGAATTACTATATGGGGGATGAATTAACATGGGGAATGAATTACTATAGGGGGGATGAATTACTATGGGGGATGAATTACTATAGGGGATGAATTACTATAGGGGGGATGAATTACTATAGGGGGGATTAATTACTATGGGGGATGAATTACTATATGGGGGATGAATTACTAAGGGGGATGAATTACTATAGGGGGGATGAATTACTATATGGGGGATGAATTACTATATGGGGGATGAATTACTATGGGGGATGAATTACTATATGGGGGATGAATTACTATGGGGGATGAATTACTATATGGGGGATGAATTACTATATGGGGGATTAATTACTATGCTTACTATGGGGGAATATTACTATACTTACTATGGATGACACATACACATCATTCATCTACTCTTGGTCCGGCCCCCGGGTCCAATATATGAACCCATTGCGGCCCTCAAGTCAAAAAGTTTGCCCACCCCTGGTCTAGTGCAACATTATACAGACCAGTATTTCGTTTGTGCCTTTTTTCTACAGTTAGTTCAGTCACAAATGCATCTTTAGAGCATCCAAAGAATTAAGGAATTTATGGCTCAGGCTGTAACCTTTTAAAAATTATGTGATCCTGTTTAGCATTGTTTTGCCTTTCAACAGGATAAACGTCCCCCAGTATATTGAGATTGATGGCTTCATACAAAGGCTAAATGAAGAAATGTGAACATTATTATTAGATCCAGGGGGGTCACATCAACTCAACGTGGTTAGGAATTCAGTCCTGCAGCGCTGGGGTCCTTGGCTCAAATCCCAGCCAGGGCACTCTTTGCATTTTCTCCCTGTGCTTGCATGGGTTTCCTCCGGGTACTCTGTTTTTCTCTCACACTCCAAAGACATGCTGGTAGGGGTAATTAGCTCCTGTCTAAATTGGCCCTAGTATCAGTGTTCATGTGAAATGAGGACCTTAGGCTGTAAGCAACTTGAGGGCAAGGGCTGATGTGAATATACAGTAAATAAATACGTGTAATAAGTAAATATTCAGCCAGCACATGGAGCTTTAGGGTAACACCTGTTTTGTGCCTTGGTGCAGTGCAGTGTAATTCATTCTCCTCAGCGCACATGTGGAAACACACTCACTTATGCTGCATGGATGTTCTTTGGCCCATTGTGATGCATTAGGCAGCCCATTCTAATAAATAGGTTGCTCCAAAACAATGTACATTAGCATGCAAGCATTTAATCCACCCCAGTGGATCAGGCTGGTATGAACAGTACCTCTGGCTACTTTCATGTGTTTTCCTCTGTCTACCTTACTGCAAAAAGCCTGCTGCTTATAGAATGCAGTAACTCAAAGTGAAAATTGCACAAATAGACTAGTTATAGTGAAGGCAAGCAGATTCTACTGTACTGTATTTCTAAACAGTCCATATTGCTCAGCCAGTCAGCATCTAATTAGTATCTGGCCCCACTGACTGGATATTTTATGAACAAATGAGCTTTTCGGTAAAAAAAATCACTATGGTTTATTTAATGAACTTTTTGTCGAAAAGGTCTTTTGCAAGTCAGGCATGCACTATTATATGTATATGGGCAGCCTAACACTTCCCTGTTTGTTACCTGTTTGTTTAAGGGAGCACTCTTTACGTCTGGAGGAAAAGAAATGTAATCTCCAAACACGGAAAGGTTTCTTCACAGTGAGAGCTGTGAAAATGTGGAATAGACTCCCTCAAGAGTTGGTTCTGGCCAGCTCAGTGGATTGCTTCAAAAAAGGCCTGGATTCTTTCTCAGATGAGAACCTTCTTCCCTCAGCCAGAAAACCGAAGATGGGTCATAGATGGGTCTTCCAGCATGACAATGACCCAAAACATACCACCAAGGCAACAAAGGAGTGGCCCAAGAAGAAGTACATTAAGGTCATGGAGTGGCCTAGCCAGTCTCCGGACCTTAATCCTATAGAAAATAGATGGAAGGAGCTGACACTTCCAGTCGCCAAGCGACAGCCAAAAGACCTTAAGGATTTAGAAAAGATCTGTAAAGAGCAGTGGACTAAAATCCCTCCTGAGATGTGTGCAAACCTGGTAACCAACTAAAGGAAAAATCTTACCTCTGTGCTTGCCAACAAGGGTTTCTCTACCTAGTACTAAGGCATGTTTTGCTTTGGGATTAAATACTTATTTTACTCCGTGAACTGCAATTTAATTTATATGATTTGTATCATGTGGATTTTTGGTTGATATTCTGTCTCTATCATTTAAAATACACCTATGATAAAAATAATATAGACCCTTCACTTCTTTGTAAGTGGGCAAACTTACAAAATCTGCAGAGGATCAAATAATTATTCTCCCACACACACACACACACACACACTTCCAAATTAGAGTGGGTCACCCCTGTTGTATCTTCGATCCATCACTCAGAGATCACATCAATAGTGGGCTCCCAATATTCCACCAAAATGAACATCAAAGAACAAGGAAGCAATCTCTATCTTGCAATAATTCTTCACTTCAAAATTCCATCTTGATACTAAGTTTCAAACAACTAAACGACTGTACAGTTTCAAGCAAAGCAAGGCTCTTCGTCAAGCTACATGTATGTAGAGCATTGCATTGCTTGAAAGTGTGCAGAAGCTTACTTGTTTGATCATTGTACTGTGCAAAAGAAAAATGCTGTAAATTAACAGAAAAGAGAAATCCAATTCAAATCAATATTTGGTGTGACTACCCTTTGCCTTCAAAACAGCATCAGTTCTTCTAGGTACACTTGCACACAGTTTTAAAGGAACTTGGCAGGTAGGTTGTTCCAAACATCTTAGCGAATCAACAATAAATCTGGTGCTGAGAAATTCAGGCAGATACTTATCCATCATGCCATATCATCAGGGAGGTGTGTAATTGGCCCCAAATTTATTCTGCAGCAGTACAATGACCCCAAACATACAACCAATGTCATTAGGAACCTTCAGCATAAAGAAGAACAAAAGAACAACCAAGATGATTTGGACCCACAGAGACATGAGTTTTACATCACAGAGTCTGTCTGGGATTATATGAAGAGACAGATGGATATGAGGCAGATATGATATGAAGATCTGTGGTTAGTTCTCCAAGATGCTTGCAACAACCTACCTGCTGAGTTCCTTCAAAAACTGTGTGCAAGTACCCCTAGACAAATTGATCCTGTTTTGAAGGCAAAGGGTGGTCACACCAAATACTGATTTGATTTCAATTTCTCTTTTGTTCTTTAACTTTTTTTTCACTCATTTTGTTATATGGTAAAAATAAACTATCAACACTTCTGTTTCTGAAAGCTTTCCTAATTTACAGCAATTTTCGTACCTGCCTAAAACTTTTGAACAGGTGTGTGTGTGTGTGTGTGTGTGTGTATGGTGAATATTAGCATCGAGGGCAGGACTTTTAGGGAAGCAGTCCACTCGTCAATAATCATTTAAGGGATTTCTTTGTCTACTTTCATTTAAAAGTAAAGCTCCTTACACTTTAATTTTCCACAAAGTATCCAATCTAAAAACTTGAATAGTACGGCCTTCAGACGATGTAAATCTACAGATTATACACAACATTCTTTGCTTTCTCAGTACTTATGTACTGTGTGTTTTCATTATTGC